TATCTGGGGGAGGGGGGCGCTTTATAACTACGTATTATTATTGTTTTTTTTTTTCTTTTTAAAGAGCATTGTGGAACAACAACCAAAGTTAATCATTTTTTTTCCAAAAAAATCAATTTTAAATTTAATTATTTTTTTTGCAAATTAAAATTATCGCTTTTCGAAAAATTGCTCATGCCTTCCAGAGGCAGGAGTGTTCTCTCCTCTTTTTTTTTTAAAAGACACCTCATACACAGAACAAAAAACACACACATTTAAATACTGTTTTAAATTATAGATGTTAAATTTTTTTAAAATGGCGCATTCGTTCCAGATGCAGACGTGGCTTTTGAGAGGCCTCGCACGATGAGCCCAAAAGATTTAAAATGTAATTTTTTAAAAATAACAATAACGCAATCCTTTTGGGATTAAAAATTGCTGCCTTTTGCTCCCCTTGGCCTTTCAATGGGAATCTTAGCATCATCCTCATCACCACCATCGTTGTGGTGGAGAAAACCATGCGCTCCGCCGTCCATCCCACAAAATCCCATTCCACAGGACTGAATAAGAGCCGAGCAAGGCAGAAAGACGGGCGCCAGGACCTGACCCGAGTTATTGCAAAATATGGGGTGCGCTTTGAGCCCTCCTTTCCCACCTCCGTTTCCAGTGGTGGGAAACATACAGTGGTGCCTCGCTAGGCGATGATAATCCGTTCCACTGAAATCGCTGTTTAGCGGAATCATCGTCTAGCGAAAAGCATTTTCCCCATTGGAATGCATTGAAACCTGTTTAATGTGTTCCAATGGGGAAGAATCGTCGTTGTCTGGCGAAGATCGGCCATAGGAAAGCCGCTTTGCGAACCGCCAATCAGCTGTTTAAATCGCTGTCTTGCGAAGCTTAGGTCCCCAAAACACTTGTTTTGCAAGCGCGGAGGGAGCTGTCAAAATCGTCGTCTAGCTAAAATCGGTTTGCGGAGCAGGGACCAAACATTGTTCAGTGAAATTCCCCCATAGGAATCACTGTTTTGCGAATCGCTATAGCGATCGCTAAAAGCCAATGTCTAGTGGAAAAAATTGTCATGCAGGGTAACTGTCTAGCTAGGCACCACTGTATAGTTTCTAGCTTTCCCACTCAATGGCAGAAGAACTTGAGCCGAATTGGATGGTGTCCAGTGGAATTTTCATCCTTTCTCTCCTGGAAGTAGCTGTTCTGTTTATTATTTATTAAGAAATGTTTTTTTAGGCTGCCTCTTAACAGTGGGGTTTGCAGGGGTCAAGCCTGGCAGTGAAGAAAACTCTTCTGGTATCAGAAGCGAAACCACCGGTGGTAGCCACAGTCCAGGAGCCGCCGAAGCGTAGGCTGGCAGGCTGGATAAAATGCACTCCCCGGTCACCATAATCGGCTGTGCCGCGGCGGAAGGCGGGTTTTGTCTGAAGGCGCCGCCTGTCGTTTGGAGCGTGGCCCGAGTCAGGAGGGTGGCGCCCGTGGCGTGAGGCCGGCGTGGCTTCCCTACAGCCTCCTGGGTACGCGGCAGAGACACCAAGGGCTAAGCGGGAATGGCATTTCCCTTCCCTGCTCCACAGCAGGCCACGCAAGCCCTGTGGGGCGGGGGTACGGGATACCCCATGCGTGCCGGGCTGCTCCAGGTGGTGGTGGGAAGGGATGCCCTTGGAAGGGAACAGCCCTTTCCGGCCAGAGCAAGTTTTGCTCGGGTTTTAATCATTGCAAGCCGTAGGCGATGACGGCACGGTTTTTGAATTTGTTGGCTTTGTGTTTATTTTTTGCGTTGCAGCCATTGGAAAAGAGGCATGGCGTCCCGGGGAAGAGAGGACAGACACGCTTCTTCTGAGCCCTTGAAATCTGCCGTTGTTTAAAGTACTTGCATCGAACAATCGTGTAATATAGTGAGAGAAACAGACAAATAAGGAACAGTTGCTCTCCTGCTCTCAGGTCCTGGAGTACTTGCTCCTCAGAATTCAAACTCGGGACCTCCTTCAAATAAAGCAGATGCTCTGCCTCTTCTTCCTAATTAACAGGCCATCCTTTT